GAATGAACGTTGTTGATGTTGCGCAAGTGTTTTTTCCGCACCGAGTTGCTAGAGCCTCCCCCTGCAAAACCACCTGCAATTGTGTTGATAACTCCTTGCAAGGGAGTTGATCCTGTTTCTTGACTTACCTCGGCCTACACCGTGCCACCAGCGTTTTGTTGAGATCCGGAGGGTTGGTCTGTGCGAGTGCCTGAATCGCGACCTCGCCCTCGTCCCCATCCGTTGTAACCTCCTCGGTGAATTTGCTGTCGTTGGACGTATTGTCCGAGGTGTCCCCCCTGGACGAGTTCCTCTATGCGATCTATGAGTGTGCGACACTCCTCGGTTGTGTGACCATAATTTCTATGGTACTGGCAATGCTTGGATTTGTCTGCACTATTGGGACTGTGTCTGGGTGGTGGTAGAGTGAGCAGATTGTTGTTGCTGGCCTCCTTCAGGATGTGGACTCGGGGCACATTCAGGGGGGTGTAGAAGTCATACCTACCCCCTTTGTTTGCCCTGACAGCCTTCTTGAACTGGCTATTATTGGTGACCTTCATCTTTTCTTTGTGACTGTGGTCCGACTTTACCTGTGATTTTCTGCGAACCTGGTCATGAAAAGCGGAGTGCTCTTCCATCTGGATGTACCCTGCAGCTCGGGCACGGAGTTCGTCCATGTCAAGAGGAGATTGCCGACATAGGCTGTCGACGAAAGGTCCTGGCTTGAGTGCCATAAGCATGGCGTGTAGGGTGTTGAGAATTCCGTTGAAGTACTTTTATTTATAATTATAGATTAGGTTACTTCCCTCAACGGACTCAAACACGGCAAGTGTACCGGCCGTACAAGTAGTAAAAATATCGTATCCACAGGGATTAGAAGGTAAACTAAGCATTCATTGGCTACTTGTGACTTGAGAACAATCCCAATAAATATGAATATGAATTTAAGAACAAAACTACTGGAATTGTTAAAACACAAATAAATGAATTAGAAATGAAATGGGGTGAGAAATGGTAAAATGGACACTTGAAGTTGTGGGGGTTTGATTTCACCAAACAAACACTAGTGAATCCTATGTCTCTTGTTACATCCATTGTTCAGTCAACCATAAATTTACTCAGACCTAATTCCTTAGAGAAAGAGCCTAGGTGCAAAATATTGAATATCAATCCCTTGAGTACTCAATACCTCCACCCGCATTACCGGTTAGGGTTTTAAGACTACTAATGGGTCAAGCCCTATCCCTAGGTACAATTCCCACTAGGCATATGTTCATAACTAGTTTCAAGGATATTTCCCAATACTCAATGAAACCTTAAATCATGCAAAGGGTGATCAAGCCAAAGCAAGCATTAAGCATAGAATCATACACAACAAGGAATGAAACAAAACATATATAACATTAAACACAAAGGGATTACAATAGAGTTTGTTGGTTACATCAAAACCCCAATACAATGGATAGAACCTCTCAAAACAAAGAGGGGAAAACTAAAATAGAGATGGAAGAGGAAAGGAAGAACCGAAGGAATGATCCACCGTGGGAGGCTTCCGAAGCCTGAGAATCCCTCCTGCAGAGCTCCTGGAGGCGCCCCTGGGCGAATGAGGGAGAAAACCCTCGACATTTTCCTTTTATGCAGCCCGAGGAGACAAATTAGGGTTATTGCGCCCGGCGCGTTACACTTCGCGCCCGGCGCGGGCTTCCCCTGATGCTCAATGTGCTCTCGGCCTTGAATTGCGCCCGGCGCAATTATAAATTGCGCCCGGCGCGAGGTTCCCAAAGGCTGAGAGTACTCTATTTTATGCCCGCCCGGCGAGATTAATACGGCGCCTGGCGCGGTTGCCTGCTCTGCTCCTTAATTCTTTTGTTTTCCACTCCTTTAACCCTTTTTTTCCTCAATTCTCTACTTGAATACCTGCATATACAAAAGAAACCAAAATGAGAACAATTATATGCAATGATACAAAGAATGGAAGAATTTGATCATTAAATCTTGTATAAGTCTCATCCAAAAAGAGGTAAAATTGAGACTTAACATAGGGTGACCTCAAGGTTCAAGTTTCGGATCTTGACCGAGATGCTGGCGAAGCGCTCCATGAACGTCCTCAGTGGTTTGTCATCACCCTGTCTAAGGCTGGCCAAGGCGGCTGATGTGACATGGTGAGGTCGACTCGTCACATATTGCACCGTGAATCGCCTTATCAGGGTGTCGAAGTTGTCGATCGACCCCGCCGGCAATTATGTGTACCAAGCCAGTGCAGCTCCCTTGAGCGAGATCGGGAAAACCCTACACAAAATAGTATCTTCATTAGTGTATAGGTTTACCAGTGTAATATAGAGATCAACATGCTCGTCCGGGTCAGTAGTGCCATCGTAACGGTCGATGCTGAGAGGCTTCCATCTGAAAGGGAGGGGCATCTCCATGATGCCATCGACAAAGGGGTGGCGGCGGATGCTCGCCCAATTTTCAGGAGCTTGGGCGGGAGCATTGCTGACCTCGTGGTTAACCTATTTGTCGGCACGTACGACCGATGAACAGTAGACCTGTGGGTCGCCACCTTGGGTGCAGTCGGTGGTTGGGAAACAGAGTGCCCCTCTTCCACATGTGGATTACTTGGTTGGGGGGTTGATCAGAAGGGTGCCGAGGAAGCTGGGTGCGAATGCGCTCATTCTCAATGCGCAGTGCCGCTAGGTCGGTTTCGTGCCTGACATGAATGTTGTCCAGGTCGATGGCGTGTTGCTACTACATTTGGTTGACTTGTTCGATCAGTCTTCTCAGGGCTGCTTCACTGTCCATTCTAGTTGTGCGATCTAGGTCGTCCGTTGCTCGTCTACTATGGCTTCGGGTGAAAACTATAAGCGTGGCCGATAAGAGATGTCTTGATCGACCCCACGGTGGGCGCTAAATGTTCTTACCAGAGATCGGTCGTAGGGACGATCTGCTGGGCAAGATTGGCGAGCCTCCTTTGCTGGGTACGATTGTTGTTCCAAGGCGGGTGTGGTCCCTGCAAAAGAGACTCCGATGTTAAAGTTAGTGTTTGTGGGTGTATTGGTCTCGTATAAGTAATAGGCGTACCTTTGTGTGAATTAGGGTTTCGTTGGGCCTTGGGCCCGAGATCAGTTATGACCTATTTAGATAACGGACCTCGTCTTGACTGATGTCGCCTAGCGCGTGTCCGAGGTCGATTTGTGCTGTGATGCCGAGCTAGAGCTCGGTTCCGCGGTACGGATAGTACACATTTGTTGGAGCAACCTCCCATGACCTTGATGCAAAATTGGGGTTTGGAGAAATTGATGGGATTAGATTTCAGCATAGAATATAAGAAGAGTAAGGAAAATGTGGTGGCGAATGTGTTTTCACGTAAACAAGATTCTACTAGTCTGTTTATTGTTTTTTAGGTTGGGTCTGACTTACTTCAAGAAGTAAAACAATCATGGCATGATATCCTAAATTGCAGAAGATTATGGATAAGTTGAGGCTTACTAGCCACCCCTACAAGCATTACACATTTGAGCAAGACGTAGCAAAAGGGCAAAATAATAGTGGGTAATGATTTGCAATTGTGGAATAAGTTGTTGTCTTATTTCCATACCTCTCCTGTGGGTGGCCATTGTGGTTGCCATGAAACATATAAGAGGATTAAGGAAATCTTTTCATGGAAGGGATTACAGAAGTTCGTGAATGATTAGGTTCATCAATGCTTCGTTTGCTAGCAATTTAAGACGATGTTGACAAGCTCCTACTGGCCTTTTACAACCACTTTCTATTCCTAGTCAGGCTTAGCAATCTATTACCATGGATTTCATTGTCGATGTGCCCAAGTCTAATGGGTTTACTATTATCTTAGTAGTCGTTGATCGACTCACTAACTACGCTCACTTTCTTGCTTTTACCCAACCTCTTAGTGCTATAGATATGATAAAGCGAGATGTATACTTAAATGTGACACTATTGTAAATACAGAAAGGTAATTAGTTAGGAGGCACTGTATAAATAATTGTGATTTCTTGAATTGAGACAGAAAAGAATATTAACAATAGTTGTGATAAAGCTTATCTAATAAGAGACCCTTTGCGTATTAAAACTTGGTATCATGATACAGTGTGAGAGTCGTTTCTTATCTTACATAAACCAAAATACTGCTATGAAAGTTTGAGACTACGTTAATGTCTCTTTTTCATGGTGCTTTTACTCCATTTAATTAAGTTTGACTTTAGGGTAATTTTGTCGGGAAAAAAGAAAAATTCATGAATTTTTATGTATTTATCCAGAAATCATCAATCTCATCAGATTTTGCATCTTTCAACCCCAACCAGGCCAGCTACTTCATATGCACTGGTCCAATTTCAAGCACATAAAATTCTCATCTTATTTGACCATTCCATAATATTCCATCTTTGATTCCCCGATCACTTCGATGGATTATCATTACAAAGGCATATTCGTCTTCAAATTGATAAGATACCCTTTGCGCAGCAAATCAAATTACTTAAGGGACTATGTGCAAGAAATCAATTTTGTCAGATACGTGACACCGACAGCGCCCTGTTACCAAATGAGTGCGTCTTTACGTACTTGGACGCTTACTTAACTAACATTCTCACCTAAAATAGAGGTTAGACCTTAATTCAGCAATACAGACAACATGTCAAACGACCAGGACGGAACTACCAAACAAACTCCATGTTTTTTTTTTTCATGTGTAGAAAAACTACAGAAATTTCCCCAAATAAAAGAAACCTTGCCTGTTGAAATAATTGATTAAGGTGAATAGACCCTGTAGCGATGCTCGATTGGTACACCTCCGAATAACCCTACTAAAACGATCTCACAGCAAACATTAAATTGGTGCACTTTATGAGGATGTTATTATCTATCGATTTCGTACATCAATGATAATAAGTTAATAACTAGCTCTTAAAACCTACCCAGCAAATTTTCTTCAATCGAAGCGTGTTCAGAAGGTATCTGGACTCTCCTCAGAGTTTGGCACACTAATCGGTCACGAAAGAAAACGCTAATCGAATATGATCGGAGTCCATTCTCAATTTAGCAAGGACAGTAATAAAGAAGGATAAAGTTAGGGTTTTGAATTTTGATACACAATGATTACTGCTATATATGATAAGATCATAATGACAGAGCAAAAGTTCTACCTTCCTAGCACTATGGTAATATCTTATTCCCCTGTTGTATAGAAATAGTGATGAACATTGAAAAGGGAAGAAATTGGGAGCGTAGTTTTATTTTACAATGGAAGTCAGGCGGTGCGATTAAGACAAAGCGGGAGTAACGAGGTGTGAAGCGACGGTGACATGATGGGCATGGGGAAGGTTTCTGCGTTTGCCAACGAGCATGCGGACGTAGAAGTTAAGGAAGAGCATGAGAACGGCGAAGTTGAGAACAGAGTTGAAGAGCCAAGCGCCAATGCCGTTGCAGGATCCTTTGAAGAAGAAATGAAGGAGGAAAACGGCGACGTGGCAGGCGACATTGCAGCCGAGCAAGGCGATCTGGCAATTGAGGACGAAGGGGAAGCAGGCGGCGCGGAGGCCTATGGCGGTCCAGAAGCGGTAGGCGTAAACGACGGCGTATAGGAGCGTGGCGAAGAGGATGGCCAGGACCTGAAAGGACTGGGAGAATTCCAGCCAGAGGAAGGACATGAAGGCGGAGATTGAGTGGTTGAAGAGTTGGAAAAAGGACAACCTACGACGTCGTAGGATGGTGATGATGGTGCGGAACATGTGGAGGAAGCGGGAGAGGTAGTACACGTACGACCAGAAGAACACGCGGCCGGAGGGGCGGGTCCCCAGGGGGAAGCAGAGGAGCCACTCCAAGGGGGTTTTCGACCGCCGCCAGAACCACCGCGTGTCGCGGATCTCGGCGGCGGCGGAGACCAGGATGCCCCCGAAGATGGTGGCGGAGATGAGGGACATGGAGAGGCTGTGGGCGGCGGGGAGGGGGCCCAGCGGGATGGGGCGCCGCCGCCGGAAGAGGGAGAGGGAGAGGTGGAGGAAGAGGGAGAGGAGGAGGTAGGAGGCGATGGAGCTGAATAGGAACGACCACGTGGCGCCCCATGATTGGGCGTGGCTCCACCGGTACTCCACGATAGCTGGGTGCTCCGAGAGGTAGTAGATTGCCGCCTTCACCATCCTCGTGTGTTCGCTCTTCACATTTTGTTCCAACTTGGACTCGGAAACGCCCAACGCGGAGAGTGTGCGAAGTTGGAGGTGCGATTACAACCCAAGCGATTAAAACAATGGGAAAAAAAGAGAAATAAACGATTTCTCATAACGTGGCCAATTAATAATCGTTCGATACCAGTGTCCACACTCTTTGCACGTGCCAATTGAAAACTTTGGGTCCCACTTGGTTTTTCTATTGTTTTTCAATTCTCCTCGCCGGGTCTTACCTTATGTTTTTATTTCTTTAATGATAATGGAGTGTGATTTTAAGTTTCCTCAATCAACCACAACTATATATTTTTAAATTGGTTTACATATATATATTTATCTCTTAAAATATAGTGAATTTTAGACTTTCGTTGGTGAACTTTTTTTTTTTTTTTTTTGGTTAGATTTTAAATGGTTAACTTCGAAATGTTAATAGTTGATATGAGAATAATTTAGATACCTTAGTACCGGTCACGTGTATTAATAGGATGAAATGTTTATGGCGTGATTTTATCACTTGTATATAGGATAATTAAATTATTATTTTAAAAAATAAAAGTTATGAACTAGTATTATAAATTAGTTTTATATTATTATCTCATTATAAATTATTATGTATAATAAATTTATTGATTATTTTTATGTATGTAATGAATTACCATTGTTTTTTTAATCGATAAACAATTATTAAATTGTTAAATCTACTAAATAATATTTTTTAAAATAAAAAATAGAAATATGATCTAAACAAACAGCTTGTAACTTCTCCTCCAGACCCTAGCATGTAAATTCCTAATCAAAAGCTATTTGTGTTATTCTTTGTTGATGTGGAAACCTTGTTTAGTATTTTTATTTTATTTTATTTTTCTAAAATATGGAAAGGACAAGGCATTGTGATTATTTTAATGGGTGGATAAGGAAGAAATTGTTGATTATATTTTGAACCACTACAAGAAAAATACTAATTTTTGACGGAAAAAATCTGTCAAAAACAAGTAAAATTCGTTTGAAATTGAGAATTGATGGATGTAAATCCGTTGGAAAAAGGAGCATCAGAAAAAAAAAAATTCATCAAAAATATTTATTCCGTCAGAAATTTTCGACGGATACATTTGTTGGAAATTGTTTGAAGATCTTTATATGATTCCGACGGATTTATCCGTCAAAATTTTTGTTTAATTTTAATAAATTTATTAATGTAACAGCCGTCATATTTGGTTTCTCAAGGGTTCTATTTCACGACATTTCACTTTTTAGCATGTTTTATCCTTACTTGTACAATTTCTATAAAACTTCCCAGAAGATCACCCATCCCTTCATTACTCCATGTCAAACACGCTTAACTGTGAAATTCTGATGAGATAAACTACCGAAATGTATATGTATATTCTCAGTATAATTTGTACAAATTAATTCATTTAAGTCATTTTTAACTATACAATTTCATACTTGTACTATAATAATTGTTCTTACTGGGGATCTGAGGTAGAGTGGATCCGCTGGGTAAGGACGGTGAGCCTCCTTCGCTGGTACGCTTGGTGTTCCAAGATGGGGGTGGTACCTGCAAAAGAGACTCCGATGCTAAAGTTAGTGTTTGTGGGAGTATGAGTCTCGTATAAGTAACGCACGTACCTTGGTGTGAATTAGGGTTTCGTTGGGCCTTGGGCCTGAGATCAGTTATGATCTGATTAGATAGCGAATCTCGTCTAGACCAAGATCTTCCCAGCGCATGTCCGAGGTCGTCCTGCGCTGTTATGCCGAGCTCGAGCTCGGCATAGCACTACGGATAGTACACGAGCCCCCCGAGCTCTGAAGATCGTAGGTCGAGGAGTTAAGACCGAGCTCGTCAAGTGGCTGTGACCCTTCGCATACGCTTGTCTGTCGAGATGCCATGTGTTGCAACTGTCGCCTCATTTTTGAAAACGTGCAGGCGGCGCGTGAATGAGGGTGACGGTTATGCAATTATGACTGGTGCTCGTCATAATGGGGGTCATTAAGTGTGTCGCCAGTTATGCTCCCTGGCTGACACGTGTTGTGGCCGTTTGAATTTTGGAAAACCCCTTTTTCTTTCTCTCGCGCCCTTTCTCATTCACTTTACTCTTTTTTCGCCCTTTCAGCTTCCTACGCACGTTGTCTTCTTCGCTTCCGTTTATTCCTCACCTTCGTCTTCTCTGTTTCCGTCGCCGTTTTTCGGCCACCGGGTTGTGCTTCTTCTTTACCGTTCTTTCGTTTGTCACAGGAGTACCAGGTACTTCGATTTCTCTATTCTCTCTCCTTTCTCCAATCTTCTCCTTTTTCAAGTCTTTCTTGTTTTCTTGATGGCTGGAGAGAGTGGTGCCGGATCTTCCGCGCCTGCCAAGGGCAAAGGTAAGGCGCGGGGCAAGGCGGTGGCTACTGGAACGGCCGCCACCAGAAGAAGAAGGTGGTGTACCCGCTTAAGGACCTCGTTCCAGGCATTCCTAGCTACGATTGGGTTAGGCGCGAAGTGGGGGAGGCCCAGAGTGTGTTTAGGTCTTTCCTCGAGGTCAATGCGACTTGGAAATCGCATAGAATTTGTGACCCTTACATCTCCCGGATGATCCGGCTTGAACCCTTTCAGGCCGGTGAGGGTGTGTACATGGGGGAGTCTACAGACCCTCCCCATTTCTATGTTTACCAGTGTTTTTTTAGGGATTGAGGCGTCTGCCTTCCTTTCACTCAATTTGAGTGTGATTTTTTGAATTTTATTAACTCGGCTCCTTGCCAGTTGCACCCAAATAGTTGGGGTTTTTTGCTGGCCTTTCAAGTCCTGTGTTCAGTTCTAGGGATAGAGGTGTCTCTTCCCGTTTTTCTTCATTTTTACCAGCTGAAAATAGGGGTTCCTCCTTATGGTTTGCTGTCTCTGAGTGGGAGTAAGGATGAGGGTTTATTCACTCTTTACTCCCAGTCATATAAAAATTTTAAACAAGAGTTTTTCCGGGTTGCACTTGTGGATGTCGACCCGTTGGAGGATGGGGCGTTCTACTTCGGCGGGTTGCCGAAGTTCCCTTCTATTGGTACCCCAAACTGGCTAGGTTTCAAGGGGTGGGCCAATTGCAATTGACAGCTTCGGAGGCGGCCGCCATTGAGAACCTTGCAGCGCTTCCTCGCCCGCTGGATTGCAAGCTCGTCCTGTCGCTTGCAAACTCGGCGTACAAGGAGAGGGGCTTAGAGAGTGAGTATTCCATTTTCCTTAGATTATTTGGGTTTGTGAAGTCTTCCTTTGTTGATGTGCTTTGTTTTCTGTGTTTGCAAGAATAATGGGCAAAAAAAAGTGGCGTGAGCTGAAGCACCGCTACAATGTTGCCGAGGTCGAGGTTCCCGAGCCTCAAGAGGAGGAGATTTCCCCCTTGAAGACCAACAGAAAAAGAAAGAGGGGAGAGAAGGAGGTCGGAGGGACCTCTGTCCCTCTAGGCGCCGAGGAGGTGACTTCCAAGGCCGCTGATGTCGACGCGGTGGACCTCACTGAGAGTCCACCGCCCGAGGAGGCTTCTCGAGTGGCCACCGAGGGGGTGGCGCGAGTTGCTGAGCTTGTTGCTTAGGCTACTGAGGTGGTAACCCCGGCTATTGAGGAGGTCGCCCATGCTGCTGAGGTAGGTGTTTTACCTTGTGGCCTTCCTTGTATGTGGCGTTCTTCTGTTTTAGCTTTATCTTAAAAAGATATGTTGTTGTTGTTGTTTTTTTTTTGTAGGCGAGTAAGGCCGTCGAGGTCCTGGGAACTCCAAGCTCGGGGGCGCCAGGGGTAAGTGTCTCTGGTGCCGAGCAGGGAGCATCTGCCTCTGCTTCTGCTGAGGCTCGCGAGGAGGGGCCGAGTTCCGGGGCCCAAACATTTGCTCTAGTGACGAAGGGCCCCCCGAAGCGTCCGTATCTTGCGCATCGCTACGGGAAAGAGAGCTCGCAGGTGCGGTTGGAGCACCTGAGTGCTTCAGAGGAGATCGACTCACTATGGAGCGTTGCAGTGACCCCGGAGAAGTTCTTCCCCAAGGGCTTGCTGAGCACGGCTGATCAGTCTATGATCGAGTCAGTCGGGCCAGTGGGGAGCTTTGATGTTGTCCAGGTCTTTTTGCAGAGGAGCACGACCATTATGGACTACTGGAAGCACAAGTGGTCCAAGCAGCAGGAGGACTTGGTGAGGCTGAAGGGCCAAGTTCAACCCTTGAGGGACGAGAACAAGGTCCTGAAGGAGGAGAACAAGGTTCTGAGTGCCGCCCTTGGCGAAGCAAAAAAGCAGGGGGCCGAGCTTCGAGCAGCGAGGGGAGACCTCGCGAGGGTCCATAAATCGCTGGAGATCGCCCTGCGTTCCATCGAGAGTTATGCCTCCCAAGTGAGTGAGCTGCAGGAGCTTGTTGCCTCATCCCGAGGTCGTGTGCGCTTTCTGGAAGATGAGGTGACGTCTTGCCAGGGTCGGGTGCGCTCTTTGGAGGATGAGGTGACATCTCTGAAGGGCGAGTTGGTGGAGGCGGCTGAGAAGCGTCTCTACGACGAGGTCCTTCTCGGTGGCAAAGAGGAGGAGGTTGCCGCTTTGAGAGTGGACCTTGCAAAGCTGGAGGCGGAGATGGCGGTGCTGTAGAAGAAGCTTGAGGAAACCGAACGGTCTGTTGTGGTTGAGCATAAGAGGGGTTTCCTCAAGGCAGCTCGCCAGGCCAGGCTTCTTGTGCCGAGGTTCGACCTCTCCGCCATGCACGTGGAGAAGGTGGTTCGCTTCGGGAAGTTGGTGAAGGAGGATGATGTCGAGGACAGCTCCAGCGAGAATGCCTCTGCGTAGGCTAAGTTTGTAATAGTCTAGTTTATTTTTATTTTTATTTTTTCTTTGAATTCAGGCATTGAACTCTGTAAACATTGTTGTGTATATGCATTTTTTTGCTTATGTGCTGTTGTGCTTTTCTTGGACTTCGCGTTTAGGCCTGATTTTTTGCTGTTGTGCGATTTTAAAACACGTTCAGCATTTACTGTGTATTTTTGTGTTTTGTGGCTCTTAGACCCGATTTGGAGCGAAGTGGTTTGTTCCAAGGTTCAAATCCGTCTTTGTGCGAGATTGAGATGTTTCGTTTTTAAGGTTCAAACTTGACCTCGAGTTG